CATTAACTATACTATACCACCTAAAAGGGTTCTCTTTGATTGGACATCTGGAAAGAAGAAGGGAAAAGCAGAAGAAGGAGTATCAACATGCTGGGACAGCATGTCTAGAAGGGGGGGTGATGTCAGGGCACCAGCTCATTGCTTGGTCAAGAGACATGACTAAGCCTTTATGACATGGAAGTAGCTGGTATACCTTGGCATGTGCTGGAACCTGCTGGAAGGATTGGATGGTCAGGTGACCTGCTGTGCATGGCTGTGCATGACCTCATATGACCTCATCCTTGGTCATATGACCTGATCACCTGACTAGGCTGAGTAAGCAAGATGTTCTAGCAGGTTCCACCACAGAGGTATAAATATAAGGCCTACTCTGCCTGGGACTGTCTCTTCAGACTTGGTCTCTTAGGATCATCCACAGGTACCTATACTGTAGATAGGTCTTAGTCATCAGGTCTACTCCACTTCCTTGTTGCCTGCTTAGACTCTTGGCACTCTTAGGTGAGCAGACTTAGTCAGCCTGTGTTGCCCTAACACTGCCACTTGCTTGTCATGGTAGAAGTTGAGGTAGTATGTCATCCTGCATATCCTGCAGCACAAGGATATGAGGACAATGGGGATTGTGCCCTGGGCCAGCATGTACAACGTGGCAAAGTGCTGGTTGCAAAAGCTCAACACAGCATGCATGCCAGTGCACACATGGTGGGGACAGGCATCCCTAAGGCAAATTTGGGTCGGGGGGTAGAAATGTTTGATGCCTAGTAGTATATAGATGAATGGGAGATAAGGGGAATGAAAGGAGGAGCTCACCAAGGTTGTATTTCTGTGCAAAGCGCACAAAGAAAGGGAGGGGATCTACCAGAAGGCCAGTAGGATGTGTAGGATCTCTATCAGGTGTCCAAGCAGTCCACTGAAGAGCTTTCCAGAGGATGGGAATGTGCTCTGGTGGGAGCCCGAGCAAATCAGAGAGGAAAGCTGCAACTGTGTTTGGTATCACAGCTGGGGGAGTGTTGAGGTGTTTGATGCCAGGGATTTCTTGCCAGGCAATGCATGTTTGGAGGTGCTGGCAGAGGGTGATGAAGAGGAGGGCTTGCTGGACAGTGAGTCATGGCAAGGACTCATGTGCTGCCAAAAGCTGGCAAATGAGGTTGAGGAGTAACATGGGGGGGGTGGAAGAGTTGGTATGAGGAGAGGAGGGGAGGGGAGTCAAGGGAGGGAGGAGTCAGCAAGGGGAGTTGAGGGAGGGAGGAGTCAGTGAGGGGCAGTGGATTGGCAGTGAGCTCAGCTGGTTGGATGATGATGAGTGTGACTGGTGCCATTTGTCAGGTATAGTAGATAACCAGTGACAATGTACATAATGTAGGAGTACAATGGAATAATATTATGTCAGCTGAGTAAGATATGTACAGTGAGCAAAAAACACTGCCACATACCCTGTCCACAGTCCACAGTCCACAGTCCAGAGGACCCTGCCCCAAAACTCATATGTACTGACCATCAGCACAATCAATGAGTGCATACAATGAATTGGCTCTGGCAAGTACTTAATAGATTTATTATGCCCAGAACGCACAATCATATACTTACTGCCGCATACATTATTTTCCTGAGTCCCTCAGCTCCGTGTCTCCGAGTGCCACGGAAGCAAATCAGCTTCCGCTTAGGGGCCTTTTGTGGCACGCAAGAGGGGTCTATACGGAGTCTCTGTGCTCAGCCACCGCTAACTCAATGGGCCAGGGCGTAATCGAATATCATTCCATAGTTTTCGTATCCCGAGATGTTTGTTCTTTGTAATAGGCACCGGCGGAGTTAGCATTCTCCGGCCCCACAACGACGAGTTCAAACGGTTGAAAGTTGTGTTTATTGAGATTTGCAGCTAACGGCTGGTGTACTGACAATGAAAACTATCCTATACTTACACTGACAATAAGAGCTCGAGCGGAACATTATTCCAAGAAGAGATGAGAAGGGAATCAGAATAAATACTGTACATGCCCATCTTTAGTTTCGAAAACCTCGCCATAACGTTGGAAACCATCTACTCAGTCATCATCTTCGTCCGGAATGGCACCCACACCCTCCTCGCCATCATGCAGCGCATGAGCCCTGGCCTGCGCATCGACATCTGGTACGGCAATACCCTCTGCATCGACAGAAGTGATCCCTTCCAGCTGGACAAAGTCCAGGACCTCCTTGGGCGGTGCCTCCTCCGGCTCCCCGATAACCTCTTCTTTGTCCACTTCCTCTTCTATGCGGAACTCCGGGTGATTCCTATCCTCAGATCTCTCGATCTCCTCTTTGGTCTCCTCATGGTCAGCGGAAGACTCATTCGCCGAGGTAACTTCTGCGAGGTCTGTCGCACCCTTGTCGTGCACATCCTCTTGCTCGCCACTCCCATTCGTACCAAGTCGCAAAGGTGGTACATGCGCATTGATAAGCTCCAGCTCGCGCTGAGCTACAGCCTCACTGGTGGGCTCGTCCCCACCCGGATGGTCCTGCGGGGGATGCACCCCAGGTACTTGACAGAGAGGTGACGCGCCCGAGTCAGGCAGAGCGCTCGTCGATGCTGCCAGAGCGCGTTTGGCACCTGCAGCACTCGCAGCTGCTCCTCGTGTGCCAGGCTTGGTGCCCCGGGTGGCTGTCGTGCCCCTTACGGCGGTCGGTGTTCCACGCTTAGGAGCAGTAGTCCCAGAACCCGCAGGCTTGGAAGGCGTATCCTTGTCACTCATCGACATTCTCCGCGTTGTCGTCGTAGTTGCTCTTGGGGGGCTTGCGGCCGTGTTTACCGTTGGGCTCCTAGTCGGAGGGGAGCGGGCTTTTGCGAGCGAGCTTGCGGTAGGTGCGGAGAGGGCCAAAGAGCGTGGACTAGTCACTGGGATAGTGGTGCTATGCGTGCGCGAGTGCGCGGCAACGGGTGAAGGAGTAGCAGCAGTCCGTGCACGTGAAGCCGGTCGCGCAGCGGGAGACTGCTTACTTGCTGATCCGGAAGTGCTGGACGTGAGGGTCGAAGCCTTCACCCGGATAGCAGAGGCAGACGCTGCGGACGAAGGAGGATGCTTCGAGGTAGGCGTCTTAGCTCGTGTGAAGGTGGGCGTCTTGGCGCGCGTTGAGGCGGGTGTGCGAGTAGAACCCACAGCGGACCTTGAAGTAGACTTGGGTAGATGCGGGACTGGTGGGATCTTGGATACTTTGTGCACATCGGTCTTATGAGAGGATGCAATAGGCGAAGGAACAGCTGGTTCGGGTGGTATATGCGTCGGCGCGGGAGGTGCAAGAGGTTCAACAGGAGAAGATTCAACCGGTTTTGCAGGCTCTGGTGCAGGTTCTGGCTCCACTGTTGAAACTTCTTCCACGGGTTTGGTCTCTTCCTCCTTCTTTTCCTCCTTCACCTCCTCTTTCTTCTCAAGAAGGCCCAACAGCCCACTCTTCGTCCCATCTTCCTTCCCCTTGTCCCCGTCTCCCTGCTTCGCATCCCTAACCCCAATCCCGTTCCCGCCCAAGCTCACTCTCCCCGCGAGTGAATTCCTCAGTGACCCTGGAAGGGCACGTTCGACTGCCTGGCCTGCCGCATCGGAAGCGCGTTTACTTTGCTGCTCGAATTTGCCGATCAGGTTCGCGACAGATCCGCGGGGTCGTTCATCTGGTAGTGGCCTAATAAACACGGGTAAGACAATAACGCTCCACGCGCCGTTGGGAGACGTACATGGCAAACAATCCAAGGAGGTAGGTGGTGGTCGAGTAGAAAGATGTATCGTAATAGCTGTGTTGCCGTGCCTTGTGTACTGATGTTTGGTCGAGGAGAACAAGGGGATTTGTGATGAGATGACGGAGTGACTGAGCTCCGTCGCATGGAGACGGCCGAGGTGACCATCGCTTCTCTGCCTCCGCTTCGTCACACTTCGGATAATCCTTTGAGGTCGTATCTCCGAACCTTTCTTCCTTCTCCTCCAGTACACTTAATGAGAGAGATGGCATCTCGCAGCGTTCGCATTCCAATTCCTTCATCATCAGGGCAAATAATCCTTCAAGGTGCCCTATTTACACCGTCGGATAATTCAAATGCTCGATGCAAGCTCGCGATGATGTGCCACCCCTGGTCCTGGCTCGGAGGATCAATGAACGATCAGTGCGTGTGTGCACCTTGTCTGCAATGTCACATTGCCGTCTAGAGCGGGCTCATATCCAAGTAGCGTGCTGCACCTTCTTACACCTGTTTTTCTTCGACATTCTTTCACCGTTCTGCGATTCAATTCTCGCGGAGTGGGCGGCTCGACAGGCAGCGCGACGTTGCGTGGGGAGGGCGAGGTTGCCGATCTGCAACAGGTCGTCCGATGGGGTCTGGAGCAACTAGGTGGGGAAGCAGAAAGGGTGGTATTGTTGGTGTGTAACTGATCTGTATATGTTCTGTAATAATGAACGCACTAATATATGTTGCACAGGGTTATTCCCACGGCTCCTTGATAACCTCCCGTCATTTACCGTTACCCGACATTCCCACCTCCCACATCTTAGTTTCCTACCCTATCTCTGTTATGCACTGGCTCACCCTCTTCTCACAATCAAAGTACCGTGTCGCGCTGGAGCAACTAGTCAAGAGCAAGCAGGGTGATGTGCTGACAGTATACGGGGATAGGGACAACTTCAGCGGCGAGGGCGTCCTTGATAAATGGGCTGGGGAACTACACAACGCGGTAAAAGCTGAGGGGAATGAAGGAGGCAAGGTGAAGACGGAGAAGGTTCATGGGGCGGACCATTTCTGGGGTGGGGATGAAGGGGAAATTCTGGTGAGGATTGTGGATGAATGGTTGAGAGAACGGTGACGAGCAAATATAATGTCTGTATTGTTGAACAACAATATTATTTTTATCAACATGATTAATATTGTTACTTCGCTTATCTGGGAAGATGCATTAGCCGGTAAACTTATGACGGCTCCGACCCCTCCCGGCGCTTACTTCTCCACACGGCACGCGCCTTCATTCCCTTGAGGCACTGAGCCCTAATTTGCAATTTCTACAGCTCACCAACTCTCTCCTTTTCTTTCATCTTCTTCTACTTATTCTACTACAAAGCTATACTTCATTTTGTTATTTGTACATCAATAGACCAGCAGCGTGCTTCACGCAGTGGCAGGCGACCCAACCCATCCGGCAGCTCCCATCAGCGCAGAGGGGCCCATGCCCCCATCCGTACCTTCCTCATCCTCCTTCCCTCCTCAAGCACCAAATGCACCGCCCATAGCTTCATCATTCTCCCTCAGCTCGCTCGCTCATCCCTCGCGGATCAAGCAGCTTTATCTGGAGAGCAGGCAGCGCGCACGGGTCGATAGAACATCATGGGACTACATCATGCGAACGGGGTTCGCAGGTGGGCTAGCAGGATGTGTGGTACGTCTCTCCTCGATCCGTTCCATCCACTTTGAAGAGACCCTAACCATAGTTTTGGTGAGGTAGGCAAAAACTGCCGTCGCCCCGCTTGACAGGGTCAAGATCCTGTTCCAAACAAGCAACAAAGACTTCCAGAAGTTTGCAGGTAACCCCACTATCATCCACCTCAGGTTGACAACTCCTGACCATACATGTAGGAACTTTCGTTGGGGTAGCATATGCCGCACGGGAGATTTATCGCACTTCGGGCTTGAGGGGCCTCTTCCAGGGCCACAGCGCGACACTTCTCCGTGTGTTTCCTTACGCAGGCATCAAGTTTGTGGCATACGATCAGTTAGCTTTCGTGCGGTTCTTCCTTGACCTGATGCTGAGGTGCAGTGCTGATAGCGTGTTGTAGATCTTAATGCCGACGAGGGAAAGTGAGACTAAGTGGAAACGGTTTGTCGCTGGGGCTGGATCAGGTGCGTTATCCTCCGAAAGTTCTTCGTACAGTCCGATCTGATAGATATATGCAGGTGTGATGTCAGTACTATGCACCTATCCACTCGAGCTCATCCGTGTCCGACTGGCATATACCACCCGACTGACTGGGAACCACGCACTTTGGCATACCATCCGAACCATCTATCGGGAAGGTGAAGCGCCCTCCACGACCTTCTCATCCCCACCCTCTGCCTCCCCAACCCCCTCCGGTGCAGCAACAGCAACAGCGACCTCATCGGCGAAAACAATCCGAATCATCCCCAAAGGCTCTCTCTTTGCCCTCTTCCCCCTCTTCAAGTTCTATCGCGGCTTCACTGTCACTCTCACCGGTATGATACCCTACGCGGGCACCTCGTTCCTCATGTACGGCACGCTCCATCGAGCGCTGCAAGCTTCTGGTATCCCCGAAGAACAGCTCCGGCGACACAAGCCATTCGCGGATCTTTCGATCGGCGCCGTTGCCGGTGCCGTCTCACAGACCGCCTCCTACCCCTTCGAAGTAATACGTCGCCGTATGCAAGTAGGAGGCGTCGCGCACCCCGAGCGGTGGCTCAGATGGGGCGAGACTGTTCAAGCCATATGGAGCAGTCGAGGATGGAAGGGGTTCTTCGTCGGCCTCAGCATAGGATACGTCAAGGTCGTGCCTATGACAGCGATCAGTTTTGCGACCTGGGAATGGGGGAAGAGGATGTTGCTATGAACGGCGAATTGGGAACACATGGAACACATATACCGAATGCTATAATGCACAATGTATCATTTTTGGACATGGAACACCTTTAACCTCTCCCAGGCGCATTTTGTGAGAACTGACCCTGCGACGTTGTACAGCTGGCTGGGACCTACGACCGGTTTTTCACCATGAACGGTCTGTTCAGGCTGCAAAACTGGCGTTTCCTGGGGATTCGAAGTGACGCACCCGAGCCTCTCCTTTGTTCCTTGCGACCCCCTCTACAATAATCAATCTGCGAGCGATCACCGGAAATGCGCCTCGACCCTCTCGATGAGGGCAATTGCCTTGTTGTTCTTGGTATAGACGGCACCGGAGAAGACTACTGCCAGTCGGATCGGGAGAGCCTTTTTAGAAGTTCTTAGTTTGCCGCGGATGGAACGCGATAAGGACGCATTCCTCATGCTTCCACCTTGATGACGATTTTTTACACAACATCGACACACTCACTTTTTTCTTCTTGCAGCCTGTGGAGAACAGTCAATGAGCGACGTTCATATGGAAGCTACGGTCAACCTATCAACACCGCAATCGCCTAGCAGTTTTACTAAACCTGTGAATCCTGGGGACGGTCAATTCAACCCCCCATCGATGAGGTCCCAAAAAAACGGCGCTTACACTGTCTAAGAATTCTTGCAACATTTGGCACCTCTTTTTACGATCACGAAGTTGATCACGATATCTTGCCCTGCTTCGGTTCATATGGCATCCGTGCATCTTATCGACGAGCGTTGGTCATTTGCACTGACACAGGCCTAGGCGCCGTTGGTTTACATCGTTCACATCCCGAAAACAGGCTGATCGTTACGTTGCACCAGACCTCTGCCGTTCTTGAGGTCGATACAGGGCAACGGATTGCCTACGCAGAGGATACGATGGTGGTGCGACATGGGAGCATTTCCACCGGGATCGGGATGAACGAAAGAGGCCTGAGAAGACTACCGCAATTCTCTTGCCGGCCTGTCTGGACGCAGATCATAGGTCGCTGAAAGCTCCCTAAGAGCGTCCATGCAGTTGGTCCTCCTTGCGGCAGCATCGTGTGCATGTCCGAGTCATGCAACCATCTCAGAACCAGTCGAATGCAGAGTCGGCCCGATCAGCCGTGATGACATTCCGATCCTCTTGTTGAGAAGTACAGGGTTACCGATAGTGCTCTATCTCGCATTCCGACAGGCAGGCTCAATCAGTTGCCGAAACATGTCAGTCTGAACAAGCAGAAACATCCAACCGTTCGGTATGATCACGATAGGCACACCGCGTGTCTTGAAGTATCCCAGAACTTTGGTTGTGATCATCATTATAAACTTCAGCACCTCGATATGGGCCGAGTTTCCGAGGCGCTTCCCAGTTGATGTCGCTTGTCGGAGGCGTCTGCTTCTAGCCCCGAACAAGCTTTTCTTCGAGTCAAGACAAGACAGCAGGAGTGACAGGACAAGGTTTGCGGGGATCGTGGGTACCGCGCAACATTTGAGATCGGCGATCTTTGATCCGCGCGTGGGGCACAGAGGTATTCGTCCCAAAGTGGCCAGCCCGAGCCAATCTGAGAGACGGGTCTCGGCGCCTGACCCTCTTGCTTTCCAAGCTCGTGCTGATGTCTTCGGTTGGACTGTTATTGATATCCCCACAATAATGTAGGCACGTTGTGTCCTCATGCGCTTGCTTCTGTGCGGGGAAGAGCGGGGCGTTCCTGGTGTTCCGCCGGCCGAAGGTGAGGAAGCGTTGTACCCAGGCGGTATGACGTAATCTTATGAAGTACGAGAGATGCAATTTCCTCTGATCGCTCGCGCAAACCAATCTCTTTCACACAAAGTCACACGACCCCAGATCTTCCCCAGCAGAACTCGGCCGAAGATCCAAACAGGGCGCGTTCAAGCCTAATCCCGGGCTTCGGCGAAACGTTTCCCACTGGAGTCTCTAAAGATTCGACTTGCATCATTCAAACCGCAGGAAAAGACCAGGTATGCGCCTCGGACGCGGGGCCGCGGAGAGCCATTCATTCGGACCCTTCACGACCCACTTTGCGGTTACTGCAGGATGGTTCTGACAGGGTCGGGAGCCCAGGCGCGAAGCGAGCAACGGACCAAGGGAGGTGGAGATGGTTGCCATTTGCGGATACAGGGCCGAAAAACCCGAGCATGTACCATTTTTGGACGAGTGTACCCGGGCTGCTGATGGACTGATTCTGGCGCTCTGTGGCCCGCGGGAGCGAGGAGCGCGGACATCTGAGCTTGGAAGACGAAAATCGGATGAGGAACAGGATTACTCGTTGTGGCGCGAGGAGAACCGGAGTTTCCGGCCCTGGGCGTCGCTGGCATGCGCTAATTGTTTCGGGCGGTGTGCTGAGGCACAATGGACCGCATGACTATTCATTACGAGTGCATTGATGAACAAGATGTCCGGGACAAGAGCATAAGGAAGGCAGGTCAGGAAGAGGAAAATACAATGAAGGGAATATTAGGCTTTCAGTGTTTTGTGATGGGCGATCTGAGATCGGGCGAAGTCTGTTCCCGTTACACCGGCTGGCTCGGGTGGCACACGGCCCGCTGCCAGCGAAGCGCTTTAGACCATCAGAAGCCGCGTTCAGCCCGGGGTTCTGGGATGTTCGCCTGGGGAGATCTCAGGGGAGAGAGAGATGGGACGACACAAAGACGTTCACTCGTATGGGGAAGGAACCGTCCCCACGGGGCCCGGGGCGGTAACCACTGCGGAAAATGAGGGAAATGCCTTTGAGGATGCGGTCCGGGAGACCGGAGACAGAGATGGTACTTTGATTGAGACTCTGCGGAATTCGTTTGCGTTAGCGCGGAGGTTGGTATATGCCGAGCTGCAGATGGGGTTGACTCGACCTCACCCGCGTGCTAAGGCGGATTTAGTGGGGAGAACAAGTCGGTCGTCGGAGGTTGAGCCGGGTCCGAACATGTATGAGGAAAATTGCTCGGGGAGCGAATGGACAAGGAAGATCAGACGACAACCGGTCGTTCCCCGTGCAGGGAATATGGTACAGAAAGAGCATCAAAGTTGTTACGCGGCCGTTGATACGCCCGAGCGGAGGTGCTAAGCAACCCCGCGGGGGTGCGGGCAACGATCATGCTGTGTGGACCGGGAGGAAGGAGGAATTAGGCGGAGGAGAGAGGGGTAGAATTTGCGGAGTGAAAGTGATGGCTGATTGGGTTATTGAGTTTTGGTGGGGCAACCGGGGTAACGGGTGCGCCCGACGGAAGTGGTACCCCAGTTGTATGTGTTATGTAATATTAATATTCTGTTGTGAGGCTTGCTTTCTCTGTGCTTGAGGTTGAGGTCAAGATGTGGGCCAGTCCTGTTGCGAATGTAAGGTAAAGGGATGGGACCCCGAGACGAGGGTGATGGTGTTTCACCGTTCAAAGCGTGTTGCCGACCGAAGAAAAAGGGATGGGAGAGGGGCGTCATCGTTGCATGTTTTTGATCCCGCTACGAAGAGGGAAAGAACACACAGGGCCGATATCCTCACCGGAGGGGACAGACACGCACTCCTCCTCAACCTACCATCATCACTCTCTCCTTTCTTCCTTCTTCCAGCACAGACACTCCGCTTTGCATAAAGACCGTCCCTTCTCTCGCACCGCCGCACTCTCTTCTTCTCCTGCTCTCGCTGCCCCACATTTGACCCTTCCTCGTCCACCACCTGACTGACTGTCCTTTCTGCTGCTTCATCAGCGTTTGACTGCTCTTATCTCATCCAACGCCCAGCGATCAATTCCTCACCCCTCTCATCTAACATGACTACTGTCCGCCCCACCCCCTCCCAGATCATATACTACGACGACCCAGAAGCGATCCACCATATACCCGCGGTCAACGCAGACGCAGCGATCTACTATGGTGGGTCTGCTGCAAACCTCTCCACGCGCTCGCGGACGTTCTCGAATGTACGCTTCATCTTTTGTGTCATCTATTTTGGAACTCACAGTGCACTAGGCCGCTCACTTGAGTAGGCGGCAGGCGGCCGAGAGCGGGAGGAGAAGGATGTCGCATGGTGCGTTGCTCCTTTCTGCAAGTTTATACGTGTTCCTCATGCTACGATTACAGACGAAAAGCCCGCTTCGGGTGGTCGCAAGTTCCTGATTGATGTTGAGGATACAATACGGCTTATCCTCGAGCAGGAAGATACTGACGGAGACTTCCAAGTGCGTTTTCCCCTTTATCGCCGCTTCGAGAGAGGTGTCGAGATTTCGTGATAGATAAGCATAACCGATTCGGGTCCGAAGGTCTTGACGCTGGGAACTGCTACGAGCAATGGGTACAAGAGCTTTGATGTTCGGGTGCGTTCTCTCGAGTGTTATCGCAGGTATCAGTTACCGATGCAACAATTGTGTAGGGTACCTATATGCTTTCGAATCTCCTGCAAGAGCTCGCCCTTGCACGAGACCACGGACGGAAGCGTATCGTACTGGATGAAGCGCGACTTACTGAGAATCCCGTCGATCGGCTATCTCGAATGATTCGCTTCTCTTTCTGGCACGCGCTTACGCGCAGAATCGACGGTGATGGGCTTGAAATCATCTGCGCAGATCCGAAGAACCGCACACGCAACATCGCTCCACTCATTTACGTACCCTATGGATGTCCAGAGATGGCGGAGTATTACCGGAAGGTTGCGCGAGAGAAGCCGCACCTTGGGCTGAGGGTTGAGGTCCTCCCCAAAAAATGTGACGACCCCCAGTTCGTCAAGAGCTTGAATGATAAGCCTGGTATTCTGGCGCTCGCGATGCGGGATGCGGTTGACGAGAATGGGATTAAGACGCTCAAGGGGATTCCATTTATCGTACCAGGTGCACGGTTCAACGAGGTGGGTACTTTTTCCGTTGACGGAGGGACGAAACTGAAGGAAAGGGTAGTTGTATAACTGGGATTCGTACTTCATCTCTCTTGGTCTACTGGTCGATGGTATGCTCGAAATGGCCCAGGGCATGGTGGAACATTTCTGTTTCGAGATCAAGCACTACAACAAGGTCCTGAACGGAAGTCGATCCTATGTGAGTCACGTGATTCCCAAATGTATGCTGAACCTGACTAAGATCCAGTACTTGTGCCGCACGCAACCTCCTTTCTTGACCGACATGGCCCTTCAAATCTACAACCAGAGCGAGCAGACGCCCGAGCGCAAGCTCTGGCTGAAGCGGGCAATCCAAGCTGCTATCAAGGACTATCACACGATCTGGATGGCCGAGCCGCGAATGGACCCTGTGACAGGCTTATCACGTTACCGTCCTGCAGGCTCTGGTATCCCTCCAGAGACAGAGGCGACGCACTTTACGCACATTATCGAGCCGTTCGCTCAGAAGCATGGGATCTCCATCCTCGAGTTCTCAGAGAAGTACAACAGCGGGGAGATCAAAGAGCCCGAACTGGACGAGTACTTCCTGCACGATCGGGCCGTGCGTGAGAGTGGGCACGACACCACCTACCGGTTCGAAAAGCGCTGCGCGAACCTGGCGACGATCGACCTCAACTCGCTGCTGTACAAGTACGAGGTAGATATTGGCAGCGCCATTCTTGAGGTGTTTGATGACGCGCTCGAGCTGGACGAAGAGTTCCCTCTCACCCCCTTCCCCCCCTCGCCCGAGTCGTACGCTGTCCCCACGTCTAAATGGCCAAAGTCTACTGCTGGTCTCCAGTCGAGCGAAGAATGGTTCCGCCGAGCCGACCTACGCAAGGAGCGGATTGACCAGTACCTCTGGAACGAGGGCAAGAGGCTGTACTTCGACTACGACACAGTGCAGCAGAAACAGAGCCTGTATGAGACTGTCACGTCTTTCTGGGCACTGTGGGCCGGGTGCGCGAGCGAAGATCAGGCATGGCAACTAGTCCAATATGCGCTGCCGAAGTTCGAGGTGCTTGGCGGGCTTGTCTCCGGTACGGAAGAGAGCAGGGGTAAGATATCCCTCGACAGGCCTAATCGGCAGTGGGACTACCCCTATGCTTGGCCACCGCATCAGATCATGGCTTGGGTCGGGCTGGAGCGGTATGGGTACCTGGATGTCGCCCAGCGGCTGGCGTATAGGTTCTTGTATATGATGACCACCGCTTTTGTCGACTTTAATGGGGTGGTACCTGAGAAGGTGGGTCTTTCTTCGCTGACCGGGATTGTTGTTGCTAATTTGGGGATCTAGTTCGATGCTGTCAAGCTGTCGCATTTGGTGGATGCAGAATACGGCAACCAGGGCATCGACTTCAAGATGGTCCCACGCGAAGGCTTCGGGTGGATGAACGCCGCCTACCAAGTCGGCCTGCACTACCTTACAACACACATGCGACGCGCGGTTGCGGCATGCACGAGCCCAGAAGTGTTCTTCAAGCGACGCGACCCCGGCGTGACAGATGAACAGAGGGCGAAGATGGCTGCTGTCGCTGAGCCCGTTGCGCTCACGATTGATCATGTCGATCTGGAGGTGATTAACAGCTCTGCGCTGCCACCACAGTGATCGCCAACCTGGATCTTGCGTTGTGCTGGACTTTGGTTCGGGCCTTGGTGCAACCCCATGGACTCTCGATATCCTCCTTTGGTGTAACCTCTCGGCTTTCTATCCGTCCGCATATCCTCCTTTCTCGGCATTGACCGCCCTAATACCTGTTCGACCACCTTCAACCTCTTCTTCCCATCCACTCTCTTCCCAATTGTGCGATACTTCCCCATCAGTCGACTGTGATGTACCAAAGCCAAGTGAATCCTTTCCTTCCGCTAGCGTACCGTTTCTCACCTCGTTCTCTTTGTATATATCTCACTAAGTCTGTTTTCTTCCTCTCTTCCTCTCGTTTCTCAAGCAAAGCCTGTGAGCTGATGTTCCGGCTAATAACACAAACCAATCCCGCATGCTACCATAATACAATTCATGTGTTTCGTTCTTATCAAAATTCGCATGTTCGACAATAAGCGCACTCCTGAGGACATTTAGTGCTGAGGACACCAGCTAGATCACGCCGAATAGTGACGCTGTTGGCTACTGTGACTGGAGTGCGGAGTAAAGCCCCCTCGAGCCAACGGGATACCAATGACCACTTACCGTAGACAAGTGATGAACCGCATACGGCAACTTGTTAGCGCTTACCAGTACTTTCTTATGGTGTCATTTCAGACTGAACGTCGCTTCCTGGAAGCCACGAGGCTGTCCATATTGAAGAAGACTTCTTCCAAGTTAAGCATAAATCAACGGCAAATTCTCTTGCAAGCACCATCAGTCGGAGGCGAGAGATACCGCGAAGAAGGGTATACTGTTCGGCACAAAGGATATTCGATATCTGGAAAACGAATGTGATAATTTTCCTCTGTCCCGTTCAAAAATCGTATAATACACCATGCCTAGTTGTCCCGGTACACTGGTGGTCCATATCCTTCCGTCTCCTCGCGCTCTCGTTGCAAATACTCCTTATGTAGATGGGTATTCAACAGTGTTGACAAGCCTTGCACCAGTTCGCCGAGTTCGGGAGACCTTGGCGCGCCTTGGACATTTTGTGACTGGTTCACATTTGTATGTGAGGACATCGAGGTCATCTCGACGGGATCGGGATTCGCGATAGTCCGATTCATGCGCTTCTCCCGTCGTTGATTATTCAGGGAGTAGCCTGCTGCCACAGGCGTGACCATGCCTGAACTTGGAAGGCTAGCTGTCTCCGAATTGATACGCGCCGTCGAGCTCGTGTGAGTGTTGAGCGCCCATGGCACAGGAAGGGGCGGCAACATGTCTTTCTCTGGTTCGTTTTGAGGCATCGTATATCGAGTTTCCTTCTTCAGCCGAGACCACAGGACAAAAAGAAGTACGTTCAACCCCAGCACGAGCAGGAGGAGTCCGCCAAGGACGGCCGCTGCGATAGTGCCAGCCGATATCATCGAGGGAGCGGGCCGGGATGGGGTGGCCACCGCAAGCATTGCATCTCGTGTAACGGTGTCGTCCATAACGAGGATGAGGGTACTGACAGAGCTGCTGACCAAACCACCTGGAATCAGTGGCATCACCTTCGGGAATGCTGGTACGTAATTCATAACGCTGATGGTATGCGGCACAGATGGGTCCAGGCCACTTGCAAAATAGAGAATTGTTTCAGAATGTCGCCAATACAGATCGCTGGCGTTGAAGGACGATGTCTCCATTCCGTCTAGCGTGATGGTATAAGGGCCGTAGTTGAACATCGATAGACCACGAAGTATGAAGGCAGATGCGCCTGCAGAGAGCAAATTAAGCAATGCAGAATAACGGAACAGCACGATGCCTACCTTTAAAGGTATAAGTTGCGATTGTGTCTGGAGCGTATGTCGCGCCTGCCCGATATACTCCGTTCCACATGTAGGTATCATCCGTCTCAACGATCCATGCACCTTGCCAATCCCATCCAGGATCATCACTGTTGATGATGTTCGTCTTTTTAGGTCTGGGAATACATCAGCAACCCAAAAGAAGTCGGAGCCATGACGCATACCCAGGCTGACCCGCGTTCATTGTCACCACAGCTCCGAAGAAACTCATTGCTCCGGTAGACCCTCCCGAAGCTTGCAATATGATGCTATGGGAGCTTGAGGAAATGTTGGTAGCCACAGACATCTGCTTGACGAGTGACCCATATCCAGAGCAAGCGTCATCGGGCAAGTGGCCCGTCGTCAGCATCTCCTGCCCGTCGAGAGTGACGATCCATGATCCATCCGTTGAGAAGCACATGTAGACTGCGCTACCTAATCAATGAGTAGGTCAGTTGAATGTCTAGACCACGACGTACGTGGATAAGACATACCGGTGAAGTTGAGGCTCACCGTAGCTCCTGCATACTCTGTTTCTCGGTAGGCAATTCCAAACCCTCGATAGTATCCCAGAGGGACCTACAGAGAAATTCAGCAAACACATTAATATTGTACGGTGGCAGAATGGGGACGACTGACTGCCGCTGAGTTTCTGATGGTATCCGTAACGGAATAATCAGTGTAAGAGGAATTCCATCCCTGTTCAAAGGCATTAGCGCGCCTTGCAGTCCAACGCAAATCAACACACCAGGGACGAAGGTCCATCTCGAAAAGGAGTGTAGCTAGGATAACATCAACGCAGGTCTCTTGTTTATGAAGGCAGACTTACGTGAATACAGGACTATAAGAAGGTAAAGTAAGGTTGTATGGCTGAAAAGTGAGAGCCATTACAACACGTCCCCAGAAGATAGAAAAGGAATAGTAGCACTACCGCACGTTGGCAAAGATATTATTACACAGTCATTGGTGTGCCTATCAGTGTTTGACACCTTAGCAACGCATTGCCACGGCCTCAACATTTCTGAAAGAAGGTTAATTTCCAAGTTGCGTCCCGTTTAGATGAACGCGTTTGTTCTCTCGGCATTTGCGGCACGGAACTTCCTCCCCGACATTCGCGGTCATAAGGGAATGAATTGTTGGGTAATATGATTGCATTCATCGAATCGTTTTTGGGTAATACAATGGGAATACTACTCTCACAAGATAATGCCTATCAAGGACGACAGAGAAAGGCATGTGGGGAATCTGGTTGTCGAGAGGCGAGCAGAGGCAGGAAGACGAGCCCCGACAAGCACGGCACAGAAACGGCCCAAACGAGACCCGACAAGACATGCAACAACGAGGGAGATCGAAACGTTAATGTACAAGGAGCGCAGAGGAGACGGACGAAGAAGACATAGTACAAGAACTCAGAAACTAAAAGCACATACAAACATGCAGACAATGAAGGATTACGGCTTTCATGTCGGGAGGTATCTTCACAGTGAATGCGGAAACGATCCGCATTGTGACATATTCCGAATGGCGAAGGTGCAGTTGGGGCCTCACGAGAGGTAGCGCTCGTTGAGCGTGTGAACCTCCTTAGCAAGGTAGGGCCAACTCAACCTACTTTCCATGCCGTGCGTTTCGGGCATGTTGTTCTCGCGAATCTCGTCTTGTGCGAGCTCTACTTCCCATCCACAGAGGTTGTACAGAAGACGCATGTTGGGCTGAATAAGGACGCTGCAGAAAGGTAATTTAGCATCGTAATTCCCGTTCTTGTGGTTTGCTCACCTCAGCCTGCGCGAGCGAACCATGAGGTAAGCCTCAACAAGCGAGCATTTCAAATGCTTCATAACGTATGCAATCGTCACGGTCGCGCTCCGGGAGACGCCAACACGGCAGTGGACAAGCACCTTGCCGCCCTCGTCCCGGGCTTTGTCAATCCATTCCACAATCGGACGGATCTGCGGACGCAAGCTGTCGATACCATCGTCGCACACGCCCTTGATATCCAGAACCTTGATCCGCCCTTCGCGTTCTTCCATCCAGAGGGAGCCCCTGCCGGCAAGGCTGTGGGTGACAGGACAGACAAGGTTGAACCCAGTGCCATTTTCGCCGTGCCCGGTCGGCGGCACCAATGCGCATTCGCCAACGGAGACGACATGGGTTATGCCGAGGGCATGCAACATGAACGCGTTGGAGGCATGGTTCAAATTCCCAAGATACAGGAATGGAAGGACCCTGCTTGGGAAACTGCCGTCGAAGCGCGGATCGTCGAACCAGATTTGGTGGTCCGGGAAGCCAGGAAGGCTTGGGGAAGTGCTTGCACGGGCCCGTTTAGCAGTTTTCGGCTTTGGCATCATGAAAAGGTCTGCGTCGAGAGGAGTGTTGGGAGCAGAAGAGCTCATTAGGGCGATGCTCGGGACTGGTGCAGCGCTCGACTGGCTCCTCGTCCTCCACTGACCACTAAGCCTCCACTTTTTGCCCCCTGCGCTTCCCGAGCTTGAGCTCGTGACGCTCACCTCACGCGGAGTCGGGGAAGGAATTGTGGGCTGCTCTTCTGAGGCGGCAGCGGCAGTAGCGGCAGCCTCGTGAGCACGTTCTTCCACCATCTTTGCCTCGATGCGGCGGAGTACCCCAAGTTCGTTCGTGTAGACAAAGAAACTGCGATGCTTCTCAACTTGTAGTTCAAGATACGCCTCCGGAAGGCTGAGCTCTAGGTGGTGCATCAGCCAGCAAAGGGCAAGGAAAGACGACTCGGTGTAGCCGTCAGCAGAGTAAATAAGGACTTTGAGAGGGCGGGAAGGACGGAAATGACCCTTGGAGCCGGAAGCGCTGGGGCGGGTAGTGCCATACCGCGGGGAAGGCATCCATTCGGGATTGATGGCACGTTCGAGGAACTCGAGGAAGGGCATGAGCTGAACAAGGGTGGTTTGGTTGGAAGGGGGGGAAGAAGGGAAAAGAAGGTGGATAGCGGACATGGGGTTCGGGGGAGGGCGAGGCTTCGGAGATGGTTCTCGACGACAAACGCGAGGTGTGTCAGACGGAGACGTAGAACCTGACAGGTTCAGCGGTGTTGGTGGGCCACTCTTGGAGCGAGTGAAATGCAGCTCGCTGAGCTCGAGAATAGCAGAGGTAGTGGGGCTGACAGGGCTTTTTGGGCTTAGCGGTGGGCTGCTCATGCGCTTCCTTCCCGGAGAAGAAGTCGCAGTTGTGTGCTGTACCCATCTCTCGTCGAGGTTCCGCAGGTGCTCTTCTGCTTGACGGATGTGGGAAGAGCTTGGGAATGGGACACCTTCGTGGCATTCGATGCAGATGTCGCACAGGCCGTCGTTTCCTGTCGGATCGAATGGGTCTGCCGAAGTGGCACGGAAGGGCATTGGTGCATCCATGGTGTTTCCAAGCTAATCAGACGAGTTAGATTAATCGAAAGATAAGAACTGATCCTGTGCATACCCAGACATGCGGGGAAATCTCAGACGCCTTCGTTAGATTCCTCATCTCTTCCTTCTCCCGCGCAATGAAGTCCACCTTATGCTTGACCAGCCCGCGGTGGTCAACAGCTACCAGGTGAGGGTACTTCTCCTCGATGACATGGAAGGGGTCTGAATAATTAGATGAGCCACTGCTGTTCACATTAATCTGCAATTACGCACCAGTGACCACGAAGACATTGTATGCAACCAGTGGGACGTTTGGCCACCTCTGGTGCCGATCCGCCGCCTTCTTCTCAATTGCATGTTTGAAGCGCTTGGCAGCGTTGATAGCGGAGTTTGTTAGACCACCCGCGGAGTAGACGATGATATCAGCCAAAGTGACGTACTTGCCCTGAAGAAAGGATCAGTTACGGTAGGTATATGCGCATATATCCGTACCACTTGGATGCCAAAGTTTCGTAGGGAGATGCCATCCGGAACTCCAGGGTCGATGAACTCTGGATGATCCGAGGTGGGGTCAAAAAGAAGATTAGCAGCGCGGAAGGATGAGGTGAGTAGCGGTGTGATAGCAGAGGTGAAGGTAGTCGTAGCGCCGCGGGAGATGGACCCGGGAATGAGCTTCTGGCCATCAGGTCCAAGATTTCCCGTAGGTGAGGGTAGGCTTTGACCAAAGACGGATGCGGGAGGGGAATCAGTGTTGGGGGACGAGCTGGCTGAGGTCGACGATTCTTCTGATGCCTCGCGGGAGTGGTCCAGCGAAGGAACGGCGTCCGAGTCTGGAGGCGTGCTGTTATCGCTGTCATGGCCTGGAGCATCGTCGGACATGGCGTCGTCCTCGTCGTAGAATTCGTCGTCAGAATCCTCCATCAGGCTGTCGTCGTCTTCGTCGATCCAATCACTCTCCTTCTCGCGCTCCTCCACGGCAACACAGACCAGTCCTCGATAGCGCGGAACAAGCATGGACGTGACATGCGCAGAGTTTGGACCGCGGGATATCATCGCGTCCTGGGCGAAGAACTGTTTTTGTGCTTCGTTGTCTCCGTCAAGACCATGGAGGTAGGGAAAGAGGACAGAGTCGGGCACATCTGACATCGCAGAGATGTGCCGGAGCATGGCGAGCTGGTCGCCATTGATAGCCCTTATCGGAGCGAAGGGGGCAGGGCGGTCGTGGATGAGCTGGAGGCTCTCGAGGAATCCTGGAGGGTACTGGACGCCGTGTACGGGGAGATCAGGGTTGATAGCTGCCAAGAGGGATGGGGGAGGTGATGGGGGTTTGGGGACGTTATCTGCACTGACAGAGATAGACATGTATATGCTGTGTGATGTGGTACAGAGTCAGAGATACGTCGTCTCTGTCGTCGCTGTTGGCAGATTGTTCGTCGTTGTGGTGGGGGGAGGGAGGAGGAGGAAAGGATTGAAAGGGAGATGTTTGGAGAGATGGGATGGTTGATGAGGAGGGCGACCGGGACCTCGGGAAGGGACTGAATGGGATGAAGCGGTACTCTATGTAAAGCCCAGGGCATTTCTCTTCCGGGCGACAGGAAGGGTTCTGGTTGGCGCGAACGGTTGGGTTGTTCGAGGCGTCTCCACACCGCCCAATTTCGCACAGACTCCACGGCCTTCCTAGGAACGCAACCGCGTTTTGCTTATGGGACTCCGATAATCAAGGATTAAGAAGGGTAACCTATTGTATATGCTGGCATTATATTGTCTATCCCTATTACTGTACATCTCAATATCGAGCATTTTAGAGCGAGCGGGCTTCATCGGCGCAAGTCTTGTACACCACCGGTCAGCGCGGACAGCGGTATGCAGTAATAAGGGCCCTCACCCATACAAGTGCGGAATCTGCTTCCATCGTCAACTGACAGGCAAGAAGCACAGCCGGGCACTGCCACCGCCATCGCCGTCACCTTTCTTCCCCAATTCTTTCTTCCTCCGTCAATGCAAAGGCAATGCTCCATTTGAATGGCGCAATTCACATGTCAGAGGCGAAACTTGAGGTGAAGCATCTTGGAGCCCGCTTCTTATTGCGCCTCATTCCTCATCGGTGATTGCGGGCTCTTTCCCCACACACCTGGAAATAAATCCCTTGCTCATTTCTCGGGATCACAGGGTGACACCGATGATACATGCGAGACCTCTCTCTGTAATACATGTACAAAACTCCCTATGCTCTCCAATCAGATGAAGGCACACCGACCGCGACCCCCTGTCGCTGTTCCCCAAATGGTGCCCCCCCTGCCCCCCGTCTCCGCTTCTCTGCCTCCGTGTCTCTCATCTTTCCAGCCAGCGGTACCATCTCATATCGACATCTGACATCTCTTGCCGTCGGCTGCTTCTTCCTCTGGCTCTCGGCAATTCGGCCCCTGTCGATCACTTCGATCACTTCTAAGATCAGTCTCTCGAGATTACAGCAGAATCCAGCCCTCCTCGACTGCGCAGGTCGCCTACATTGTCGGTTCTATTTTGTCACTATCAGGTAACAGATGACTGAGCTGGCACTTCAAAGGGTCTTAAGAAGGCAGTCAACCACATTGATAACGGGATGAATGGGCTGGAATGCCGCTGACCAAAGGTCTGGAATCATGATGCGGTCGCGTGCCGCTTCTCAGTCAGAATCAACAGTCCAAACTCGGGGGTTGAGCTGACCCATTTTATCCAACCAGATGATTGACCAGGTGGTGTATTGATCCTTATTTAGCTCACCAACAATTGCAACGTTGCCAATGGACCGAGGCCATTGTCTAGTTCATTCCATACACATGCGACAGAAGGGTCGCGCTGTCAATCGAATCTCAATCTGTTCCTTGATGACAACCCTTTCTTGCGGCGACACAGCCGCCCCCTTGACAATCCCAAGCCTTCCTCGGCATGCGCTGCCGTTTCTTGCCGTGACCAGATTTGTCTCCGGTCTTCCCTCCTTCTGGCTCGTTGTGTTTCAACAATTGATTTCCTTCCTCACACGACCCTCCCAAACCGCTGGCTGATGATCAACGACCAACATCATCTGTCCCTACTCGCAACCACTCCTTCGCAAAGAGTTTCATTATCGCCCTTCTCCTGCCGTAATTGTTTAAGCTATCACCGTGCCGGCCCGACAATGAATGAAAGATTCCAAGCATTTCCTAACAATACGATCGCTATGCTGGACACATATGGAAACATGCGGATGACCACTAACCCAAAACGGTTGACTAGGCTCATACAAATGGCGAAGGCGGAACCATCCCGCAACGGCGGAATCGCATTTCTCGCTGGGTCTTCTGGTCAATAGTTCTAGACACACCAGCCTTCTCTGCAACGGAACATCTGAGCGAGATGCATACAGGTCGATTCCTCCATGACGCTTCTCTGCGGTGATAAAGGAACACCATCTGCGACAATCGCGCCCCCGGGCTAGAAGAGATCGGTACAGAAGTGCTGTCAGAACCAAACAAACAACAAACTCTTCAAATGACTATCGTAATGTCCGCCGTTGTGTTATCAGTGCCTGGAATGCTCTGTGTTTCTGCCAGGTACCCGAAACTGCTAAACAATCAGGGACGTCATCTAACTTTATCGCACACATTTCCATCCCTACAGTAAGCACCTTGATGATTATTCTATTGTATCCTTGAACTTACGAGACGAATATTTTGCCTCACATTGGTGAGTAAGCACATCCTGGGAATCGTGGGAAAGCGCATGTGTCGATATAAATTACTGTCCAGAACCGACCTCATGCGAGACATGCGGCCATTCGAAGAACCCCCCTCAACATGATGCACTCCGCTCCCAGCAATTTATTTACAGGTTCATATCCTGACAACCGGAAATATGCAACCCCCTGACCACCCTGGCTTCCCTGTTCCCGGTCATGGGAAAGGCTAATCCCTTTACGAGACCATCCATTGAACATCAAGGGTCCATCAAAGTCACCGATGTTATATTTTCTTCTTCCCTGAACGCCCCCAAAACTGGGCTCGGAATGCCCTGGCATGCGTTCACAGCGTGTTTGGGGGCTGACAGGGCACTGGGAAGCACACGAGCAGTTTTGCGAAGCATCGCCGGGCGCCGCTTTTATCATGATGGTTCTGGTCTGGGATTTCCAGCCTGTTTACAGACCCTTTGAGGCACTTTAGCGCCCATCTCAACAAGCTCACTTCGATTGATGGCTTTAAATTCTTCACTGCCAGTACATTTTGGGTGTGTGTTATCCAACTATTGGTGTTGATTATAATGGAAAGTGGCCTCCCAAGAACTTGGGCAATCTCGGCAATCCAGCGGTCTTTATGAGAATAGGTTCCGCGATAGGTCGGGGGTTCGTGCTGTTACGAGACAATTTCCACTTGAGCACGCATTTCAAGTTAGAAAGACATATGGCCATCGGACGGACACCTTCCTATTACTGAGAAGAGCAGCTGCGAGGTTACTTAGTCAAGATTCGATACCCCGGGTTTGAGGAAGACACGCCTCTTCCCGCCCCAAACTATGACACGCTGTCGAAGCTCATGATTGGTCATGTAATAACATTCCCGTACGAAAATACGGATATGCATTAGTACGTAAGGGCCTACCTTATCGAGTTTATTCTTCTTACAGCGATTTCCTTGCGTGTGATAGCAGACCAGAATACCTGATGCGTGTTAAGCCCGAAGAAGCTTATGAGCGCCAAGTCCTTCCCGGACAGGGAGGCTGGTGCTGTGCGCAAAACACCCTCTGCCTCGGCATGCTTCGTGCACTCGGCTATCCTGCCTACGCGGGCGCAGGGCGAGTGAACCGTTTTCTCAGTGCGGAAATCGACACTCCAGCCGAGTACAAGCCCCTTTGCCATATGGTGTTGTTCGTCAACCCCGAAGGCATGGAGACACATGTTGTTGACGTGGGGTTTGGAGGCGGAGGACTGACACGGCCTCTCGAACTCCGCGAAGGGGCCGAAGTACCGGGTGCGAGCGGCGAGCGAATCCGCCTGCGACGGTCGCTTGTGCCCGGAGCGGTTCGTCAGGCCCAAGACGCGTGCGTTCTCTCGGCTAAACGGATGGATAAGGATCATTGGAAAGACTTGTACCATTTTTCGGAGACGGAGATGACGCTCATGGATATGGTCGTGCTGTCCTATTCGAACTGCGCCATGCCCGGGGTTGGGTCGTTTTGGTACGACGTTGTTGCCTTCTTCTTCAAGATCGAGCCTGGGACGGAGGAGCAGCCAGAGGGGTCAGAGATGTATCGAGTGATATTGACCGGCGGGAAGGTTTGGGAAGACCGGAAGGGAGAGAAGAAGCTGATCAGAGCGTGCGAAAGCGAGGAAGATCGTGTCCAAGTGCTGAAAGAGTATTTTGGGTTAACTGTCGAACTGGAGGATATCAGGTGGATCCAAGGTCGAGCAGCGGCTCTCGCCAACGCACGCGTCATCGAAACGAAGTAGGACTAGATCGCCGAATAGTCAAGGTTGATTCAGATGATACACGGTAGACATGTGTAACATACCCATGCTGGGAAGGACTGAACCGCCGAGAGCGGCTGAAGCGATAGACTTGACAAGGGAGTGCCACAGTACAGGAAGGGAAGCCAGCGGATCCACACTGGCCGACTCTTCGCACGTTGTCGGATTGCGTGCCGGTCCCGGTCTTCCAGAATGTCCGTTCTGACTATAAAGCGTAACCCATTCAGGGTTGCAAATAAATGCAAACCTTGGTCGGTTTTTCGCCATTGTTCAGTCCCTGCCCTGAATAAACAGAAGAAATGAACAAAGGGCCGTTTCCAAGCCCCGTTTCCGGAAAGCTGACTCACTAGTACTGCACGTTCATCACTCCAGCCACAGAACGCGGGGGCGGGTGGAGCCCGGACCGCGCATCACCTGCTGAAACAGGAACCATCACAGGACGTTTTAAGCAGTCAGATCCCGTAACTCCGCACGGGGGAATGCATGCTGACATGCGAGTTCCGACATTCGGAAAAGGAGTGATCGAGAAACCTTTTGGCAGAAGTAGGAAGATACGGAGAGAGGCTGGCTGGTTACCGTCTCAGGTTGGAGAACGGCTTCAACACGGAAGATAGGCTCCACGGGTCACACGACCCCTTTCATGTGTGGTCCGTGCGGGGCTAGGAAGACAGGAGAAGGGCAGGGGGTGTCAGGAGTCTGCCTAAGGGGATGTCTGAATATTGTCTCAATTTGAGACTGATTTTGACAGAATAGACGGACATTAATGCCGATTTGGAATCAGGAAGTACTAATGCTGATGGTGGCGGTTGGTGATCGAAGATCGGATGCATACACAAATTGATGCGACAGCGACACTTGCTCGACGCGTCGTGCACCACCAACCACCAACCGCATAATGCTCATCCCACTAACACGTCCCTCTTCCTCCTCCCCTCCCCTCCCACCTCCTCTAGTCAAGCTCGGCACCCAGCTCTTCCTACTAGAACTTCAAGGTTCGCTCGAAGTGACCGGGACTCCCGAGCTCGGGGAAGGGGCAGTAGGCCAGCTCAGGATGGGGGTACGTTACTCCTCTGCTATGCTTCAGAGACTGGACTGGAGCGCTCACGCATGGGTAGGAGAAACCGACGCTGCAGATCGGACATCATCTACTCGAAGGGAAAGTCGTCACCCTCCCCAAACCCCTTGCCGTCCTCCGCAAGCGCGCCTCGCGACCACACTCCACCGAGCCCGAGCCCCAGCCCGAACCCGAACCCATGAAAACGGAAGACGAAGACGAGGCCATTGAGAGTCCTACGGCGGGAGGAACGACCTACGAGATCCTCGAGATCGTACGTCTGAAATTGTTTTTTGCGAGACGGCCTGCGCTGGTGGTTTCCAAGCCTGGTGCGGGTGCGGGAGGGGGGAAGTAGTTGGAGTGGGGTATGAGGTATGATCGACGGCTTGCGGATGGGGGTGGATATGAAGATGATGTACTGATATAGATTTGTATTGATATTGGTATGTAATACAATTCTCTTGCATTCTGTTCCCTCCCATCCAGGTACAGGTGTATCACCTCTGAACTTAAGGGATATATGCGTTGGAGCTCTAGTTAGTAATCGACGGCCTCATTCCTACAACAGGAACAAGGTTGCCCACGGGATGCGCAGCAGCGAGGGGGACGTCATTCCCCTTTTTATGGGAAACTTTAACGACTCCGGTGCTCTGGCGCATATACCTTCAATGGTCGATGCCGAGTAGATTAGGTCGCGTACCCTGAAGATCCACGGGACGCTCCACCAGGTTGCGGTTTATAGGAACATACATTTTCAGACGATCACTACCTGATACCTACTGTTATATTCCCAAACGGTCGACATAGGACAATGTACAAATGCAGAATCACACAATACTCAAACCCAAACTTTCAGAGTACAGAGTTGTAGGTAACCTGACGTCATCTAGACGTTATTCCTGGGTGGGATCCTATGAACACGAGCCAGCATATTCCAAATGCATACAGTTGCATATCCGAAACGCCAGAAGAAAACTGGAGCGCAAGACGATAGTCGATAGAGGTACGGATAAATTGCTGGCAAGGAGGCATATGGCGCCCCACTGCGTCCCTTTGTGTCGGAGCGCGCATACTTGTTACAGGTTGCGGGGGGCGAAGATCGGTATGGTTGCAAGAATACGGGAGTTGATGTGCGCGGTCGAGGTTGTTTGCAATTTGGGGGTAAGGTGAGACCGAGTCGTTGGCTCGGGGAAGAATTGCGGGAGAAGCTCATGCCCTGCGGGGGTGAGGGGTATTGTTGGGTCGATCATGTGCCGAGGAAGTGAAGCCAAGCCAAAAGCCCGAAAATGCCGTCCGCTCGCGGGCGTTCAAACAAACCCATCAAACTGTCCCTTGAGGATCCGCTCGCTCATCGGGCTCACGCTCCGCCGCTTAGGCTTAGGGGGCGTGAGTGTCCGTCCACGGCCGGTGCCGGTCCCCTGCAACGGGGTGGGGGAGACCACAGCGGGCTGCGGAGAGGGTTCAACGATGGTGGGCATAGCCCGTTCGTTGGCCGCTGCGAGCGGGCCGGTGACGGGCGCAGTCGGGGGCGGAGCAATGAACGGCTGTACAAAGTCAGCATCACGCGCCTGGTAAGCATATGCAGGACCTACTCTGCCGAAAGCACCGCTAAGGCTGAACCGGCGCATGAGTCCGCCCTGATCGACGTGGGGCGGACTCGCGGGAACAGGCACTGGCCCGGTGGTAGGCGGGAAAGGCCTTCCTGCCCAGCCGGTGCTCATCCTCCTCGAAGCCACATGTTGCTTAAATTCCTCAGCATCGTCTTCCACCGCACTAGCACTAGCGGGACCAAAGTATCCGGCAAGACGGGAAGCAGTGGGAGAAGTGGAGAGCAGGGGAGCTGTGAGGAACTTTGACAGTGTGGGACTGGTGGGGGAGAGAGGGAAGGGGGTGCGCAGGGTCCCCTGGGGAGGGGAGGAGGAAGGGGACGCTGACAGGTCGGGAGGGTTGGAGGACGACGACGACGCGAGGGAGGATGATCGAGTGCGAGTGATCGGGATAGGGATGCTGGTTGGACGGGTTGAGGTTTTAGTGTGTGTGGTGTCCTGGGGGAGTGCCATGGTAAGAGTGAAAGGGGGAAGGAAAGGGAGGCAGACCGAGTTTGGGGGGTATTTATACGGGTGGTGCCAATGGGGCGATCAGAAGCAAGTGTGGGGGCGGGAACAAAGAAGATCTTGCTAGAAACGGGTGGGTGACTTCCCTTTTTGGTACCGTCGTCAGCCTTTGTGAAGGTGGGTTACTGCTGCGTGACTGCGAACTTCCCTTGGAGAGATAGTGAGCACCACCACGAAATGGGTCATGTGGGGCTAGCCCTTTTGTTCTCTCACCTAATCAATCAAACGCCACACAACACCGCCACACGTTTCACATGTCTGCTTCCCCGCATTCTGTCTACACTCGGCCAGTCTATTCCCGCCCCAATTGAATACTCCTTGTCTTACTCTGACGAACCCAAGCCCTCGGCCTGTCAACTACCCGGCAAACGTCCCCTATCTCGAACATATCCACGGCGCTAATTTCCATCTGTCATCATCATTCTCATCCATATTGACCAGCCAGCCACAACGCCCTCAACAGGAAATTATACTCCCGCATACCCACGTCCATCAAGCCGAGGCAGATGTCAGAAGCTTTGAACCCCCGCAAGCTTGTACAGGTGCTCCTCCTGCATCTGTTACAAAGACCCTTAGCATACACACCTCAAACAAGTTTCGGCTCACTCACCCACGGCACGTCACCCTTCCCATACCCAGGTGCAGGTCGCTCCCAAGGGACTGCACGGTCGAGCCATGCCTCGTCCCGCACGGGCAGCACGACCCCTAACTCAAAGTTCGAAATCTTCCGTGGCAAAATACGATGCACAGTCAGCGCATCAGCCTTCCCTAACAGACATCAAGCCTACCCAGAGTTTGGGCTTGCTCAACGTGCCGGACACAGAACCCCACGCGGCCATGCTGAAGTTATGAGACCTGCGACTTCTCAGCCCAGACACGACTTGTACACGAGGAATAAATTTACCCAACATATACCCATCCCACAAGGTTCTTCATATCCTCCACATCAGATAGCTCGGGATCAGTGTCCGATTCGGACCCGGGCTCGGGGACTTTCACCGTGCTTTTAGCGCTAGCCCGTCCCTTCCCTTTGTGCAAAGATGTCGCCGGCGGCGTGCTGGCGATCGCCCCGTTTTCAGCAGGGTCAACGAACGTGCCGACAATCATCTGCGGAGGAAGTTGCTTATCACCGTTTCAATGTCTGACCAATATTCACCTTGGTATGCATTAGCACACGCCCACTCCGCGCTCGAGAATCTCGGAAAAGCTTCCTTGGTGCATTCGGTTTGGACCAGTACTGTTTCCTGCAGAAAAACGAGCCTGCTCCCTAAACTCTTGTCAGTACTTCCTCCTTAGAGAAACAAGATGCGTACCAGCCGACCAAGGACTGTATTATCGACGGTCGTCAGGGATGGGTAGACAATTTGTATAGCAGGCCAGGGCTGCGCTTTGGGTCTCCGTTTGGAAACATCGGGGGACAAGCCGCAGCCTGATTTATAAAAGTCATTCAAATATTGGGTTGTATAGTTTCCGATCGACGATCCCTGAAGAAGTCGATTGATCAGATCAGGAGACAGTGGATTCGAAGCCTAGGGAAGCCTGCTCACCTGGTACTCCAGGTTCAGTCTCTTGCCTGTTGGTGGCTGCGCTTTGAGCTGGCGCACTGCTTCGCCCAATCTGGGATGCCCCCATCGGCGAACACTATCCCAGTCCTCGTAACTGCCAGCAGGGCTACCAACCAGTTGTGCTGTTACTCTGCTCCAGTCCCATCCCGTAGCAAGGGCATCCAGTGAGGGGAGAGGCAGATTAGGATAACCGCCTTGGACGAGCGCAGAAAGACCGTTATGCACATTAAGTATCTTGAGGAAGGACGCAAGATAGACGGGGAATGGATGTGGTTCAGCTGAGGAATCTTTGTTTTTCGCAGGGATATCTTGTAGAAACATGGTCTGGATGCACGATCAATATTGTCAAGCTCGCAAACGTCATGTATGCGCACATTCTCGATGTCTCGCCAGTCGTCTGGAACTAAGTTCGCAGTGGGTATAACCAGTCTCAGCCGGCCATTCTTATAGAATAGCTACACTGTGAGGTTAACTCAACCCGCAATACGCGAAATAGCTGTGCTTGCCAATAATAGCTGGATCTGCGGTCAGTTTCAGCTCCGTAGCCAACAGAAAACTAACCTTAACGTGCATAATACCGCCCTTGTTCATCTTCGGGGTCGCATATATCCATCCATCCAGAGGAAGTGGTTTAATCTGCGGTTCCCAGCGCTCTCTATCGGTGGGGTGGTTGATAGATAATAGTGGTACCTTGAAAGGATCAGGATGAAATGACAATGTATGCATCGAACAACGAACGCCAGCGGGGATCATAGATCTCAACCACTCAAAATCGGTTCCAAATGCGGAGGTCAACACGAACCGTAGCTCAGACACCTATATAGTACAATTCAAGTTGCTTCACAAGGGAAAAGGCAGGCTTACGAACCGGTGTGAGGATCTCGGCCATTCCAAAGACAGGGCGCGCAGGATTCTTGGGGACATGCGCGTTCCTATTTTGACGCACTTCACCGTCCAAGAAGAGCTCGGCATTTATCGACGGATGTTTTGATGTAGAGATAGAAGAGGAGAGGGAGGCTATGGCAACTGCAGGTGCCGTGCGGACACGCTTGTTCGGAGGCGCGCTCGAAGCCGCTTCTGTAGTTTCTAGGTGTCGCTTTTGACGCGCCAATCTCTCTTTCTCCAAGGTCGCACGATCACTTAGAAAATTAACCGGTTGGGTTGCATTTGGCTTCGAAAGGGGTGTGTCATTCAATGATGCCTTTACCGTAGAGGAAGTGGTCGCAGAGGAAGGACGCGTATCTCGAGGGAGAGACGTTGGTTCTCTGGGAGCACCCGCTTTGGAGAGCTTGATTGCTCGAAGCAAGTCCTCATCTTGGTCGGAATCATCGCTGATAGAGATCGGGGAGTTTATGCCGCCTATAGATGCATGAGTGTTGCGATCCCTTGGACAAAGACAAGACCTCACTATGTTCGCCCAAGCTGAGAGCGAGAGCCCTGGTCGCAGAAGGGGAATCAATGTCGTTTTTCCAACGCCAGGTGAGTTCACTTTACAATTTCAACTGTTCATCTTGTTCCTCTTCATATTCGTGCATGTTCCGGCTGTAGAGAACAATCGACGCGGTGGTGGCAGAAAAGAGTACAAAGGAAAGCAACGCGCGCCACGGATATAGTGCCCAAGAACGTGACTTGGCAACCTTTCGTAACACAATTTATTATCGTTAATTTCCATCACACTTTCTATCCTGCGTCCTACAACCCACACCTCTATCTCACTGCGGAAATTCAGCAGACACAATATAGCTGTTGAAACACAGTAAATGATCAGCATATATGCGTCATCTAAATAACCAAAAAAGACAAACCCCCTATCAACCAAAAGACCTCTGGCACGAATCAACACGGTGTACTACATCCGGGGTCAGATATTGACACAGACAGCACCAAGAAGATCTTACCCGAATGACCCACCTCCCTGCTACAGCCTGATCCACATTTCCTGCATCCCTGTATTCCTTAAACGACTTGGGCAACGGCAGTCGTTCTTGAAACTCGGTTAGCAAGGCGGTGAGTGCCTTTGTCGGAAGAATGTCTGTATGGGAATATAAGTGATAACGATTGAACCATTCGACCGATTATACCATGCGGATCGGAGTGAGCCACTAACTCAACCCCCTTCTTAGCTGCAGCCATCTGCACGTCATCAGGCGGATTCATGCACGGGGGAGAGTCGCAGTCGAAGAGGTTGAGGTGATCTGTCACAACAGGTTTGGCAGAGTGAACGTCTGCTATGACGGAATACAGCTTGTAGAGATGCTTCGCTGAGAAGTCGGAAACGCCTATAGTCTTGATCGAAGGGTTGCAGGAGAGTGTCTGCGAACACGATGGTCAGAAAATGATGCGGCGAAACATGCCGAATTTCGTACCTCCCATAAGCCGCACACGTCCTCAACCTTTGGCATCCCGACTTCCTCCCATTTGTCTTGGCCATCCCATCTGACGCCCTTTAACTTGACAATGAAGCGGGCAATCTCCTTCTTCCCCGTCGCCTTCTCTAGGGCGGTCAATGCTTCGGCAATCCAGGTTTGTCGGACTTTCTCCCGCTCCTTCCCCTTCGGCGTGCTCTGTAAAGAGGGCGGTTCAAAGAAGAACATCTTGACGGTGATCTCGCCTTCGTTGTCCTTCGCGCGCTTAAGGTCTGCTTCCTTGGGAATGATCAACTGCCCTCCCTTGCGTACCCCTAAACTCTCTGCCTCTTCGTCGGTTGCACTGAAGCAGAAGCTCGCTGATTCGTCGGGATGCTCGGTGCACGGATCCAGCGCATAATGCAGGGACGCATGAATCGCATGTAGGAGCTCGGTGTTCGAGTTCTCGCCAGACAACGAGGGTCCTCGCGGGGGAGTCCACGAGATGGCGTGCCGGGTGATGTTTTGCGTGTAGAGCAGGAGCGTAGACGCCATGACGAACGCAAATGTCGCAACACTTGCTCTTTCTATTGGGGATGTAGATCGTCAGGGGGTTATACGTCAATCTGGTGTGATTGCGGTCGGTACCGGCCAGCGTGCTGTTTGCTGATTCGGCAGCGAGCAAATCGGATCCAGCGGTTGACACCCGCTCCTTCCCAGAGGACGCACAAATGCCCTGTTCCAAATTGGCCTTGCCCAGATCCTGGGAAGAGGGTATCACAGACAGCGAAGTAAGAAGCTGACAATGATGATGACTCCAGTCTTGGTCCGGAAAATGTACCGGTGCCCAGGCATGGCAATTTGCAATACACAACCTGAGAGAGCGCTTGCGCCATCCGCGCGGGTCAGGGTACGGCAACTCTCTCTCCTGAAGAATTCCGACAGGGTTGATTTCTAATCGACGTGTACACAAATCAGCTCTTTCTCTGCTTCTTATCCAATCCATTGATAGCACGATGAGCCATGCGTGGTGAAAGTTATCGCATGGTTCGATGCACCGGATTCATCGGGCACATATCAAATGTGCTCGATTAGTTGAGACTCGCTTTTCTCTTCGCGGTCGCTTTCTTGTCGCTCAACGGTCGTGAGTTCTTCTTGCAGCGGTGCCGCAACTTCGTCTCCGAATTTACCATTGATTTCTTCAAGCGAGAGTCCCTTCGTCTGATGATGTTGAGAATCGTCTCACAACGCCCGCATCGAACCTCACCTCGGGAAAGTACCGCCATATAACAGCAATATTGAGCGCTGTCATGCAGATGAAGAAGAGATAAAATCTCCACTGAATGTTCGCCAACGCGGTTGGTGCTGCATCGAGATAGATGACAGTGGAAATAAATGTGCCAACCATCGAGAAGGCCATTCCTTGAGACCTAATATGCGTGGGGAAGATTTCGGAACAATACACGTACGACGTGTCATCGATACCACTCGCGTAGAAAAAGATGAACATGAAAGTGAACAATACGCCAAAAGCATTGCCAGTGGTGTTCGACGTGCCGGCAAATTGGGCTGTCATTGCACTTTCGCAAGACGATGCGATCATGCATCCCGTGAGTCCGATAACTAGGAATGACAGGTGAGCTGTGCGCCAGTCCTGACGAAAGAACTTACGCAACAGTCGAACGCGCCCCATATAATCCATAATGAAAGAGGCCAGAAAATTGCAGACCATTGCCAGCGTCACATAACAAGACCCCAGTATAAGTACTAGTCCTCCTGTGTAACCAAGATCGTGATATAATAGCACGATGTAATCTACTTCGGCATCAGAGCAAGAGTGCTGACAGCCTCATGCAGACGTACTGTTCACTATCATTCCACCCGTGGTCTGCGCTGCGTATTGTGTAAAGAAGCCCATCCACATCCTGGATCTGTAGGACGGCTTCGTGAATATCTGCTTGAACCCGCCTCCACTGTCCCATGCTGCCTGATCCAGTTCAACTTGTTGCACCATCTGGCGGAATTCGTCCTTCGTATAAGCTTGATCTGGGTCGTTTGGCCGACTATGAAGTTTCGCTATGATCTCCCAGGCTTCTTCTTTCCTTCCGATTAGAAGAACTGGCCAAAAGGTGAGCGGATACCTCACCCAATGTATGTCGATTACTGACGCCAGCGAGGTGATTCTGGGACCCATGGACTACAAATGAGCAGTCCAAGCGGCCATAAATATCCAACAGCGATGGGAAACCGCCATTGGAAACTTAGGTTGGACGAGTAGAACGTTGCCACTCCAACCCAGCTGGCAATAGCATAACCAACAACAATCCACGCCCCTCAATCGGAATCTTAGTACTTCGTTTCAAGACTCTTGTTCAGTGGCACTGAACGTACCGTGTTGCCCAACCAGCAATCCTCTCGACGTGGGAGGTGAAACCTCTGCTTGATATATGGGGATAAGAACCACCATCATACCAATTCCCCATCCCGTGATGAATCGAGCAATCAGAAACATCGCCACGTTTATCGCGCCCGTTTATATGGCAGTACCGACTACACACACTAGTGCCGCAAGATTCATCGTGGCCTTCCTTCCATATGCATCGTTCATCCAGCGAACCATTATTGCACCAAAACTACCGCCAGCAGAGAACAGACCATTGACAGCGCCCTCAACTGTGTTGGTGAATCCAGGGTTGTCTTGCAAGCCGAAATATTGAAGGAAGCCGGGCTGTCCAATGGTATTCGAGATTACGCTGAAAGCATAGCCGTACGACAGCGATCCGAACGTCAGGAGGAGAATAATGCGAATATTGTAGGCTGAGTAGTGCGCCATTCTGCAGGGCGGTTTGTCACAAGCTTGTTATCCTCCTCACTGTGATTGAAATGGATTTTTACATGAAGGTGGAGTGGGCAGACTCCACAGCAGAAGCTGACCGCAGCCCCATGAGAACGACCAGACCTAGAGGGCCAGTAGATGTCCTTATCTTTTAGCCAGCGAAACCAACCCCATGACTCGCGGAAATGAAGAGGATAACAATGTGCTGTCGACAGATCAAGCGATTCACGAAGTGAAGACACTCAGAAGAAAGGGAATGAGTTCCGGTGGACCTGTTGCATCCTATTGGTCTCGGAGGTGGTCGAGAGGAGCAGAGTGTGCGGAACATGTTCTGACAGCAGCGAAATAGGTCAGAAGTAGGTCAGGGTTAGAAAGCAAACACCTAGGGTCAGCAAGCATGTAATCACACCCCGGAATACAATTCTTCTGTAATGGACAAAAATGGGAGGTACAATGAAGTCTGTCAACTTCTTTTGAACCATGTTTTGTGTTACTCACTGACAGAGAGTATAGAGGAAGGCAGTTGCAAGAAACCCATCACCATCTTGTTCCATAAATATAAAGACAACCTTTGTCTCCTTATACAGCACTTAAGAATTGTATACAAAGAATTACCTTCTGCTATACCCCAAATAACCTACAGATTTGAGCTGAAATACTACTCTCCTTGATGTGATTGATATGACTTTGAAATGGCCATTGTGGAGTAACAAACTGGATACTTCCCAATACAAACATGTAGATAGAATAGATAAGAAAGATCACAAAGGCTTTCTAGAATCTCAGGCCCTGTTACTTTGCCCTCTTTATGCCTTAACCTCATATGCCTGTCTTTGATACATCCTCTGCCTCATATGATAAGGCTTAAAGTGCTTCTCAGGCAAACCAATCACCCAAGGAGTAGGGATATGCTCTCTCCACCCATACTTCTTTTGATTATTATAAACCTCAATAGTGATATGCATTCTTGCATCCATATCAGATTGATGAACTGATGAACTATAAAAGATATAAGTAAGGGGCATAGTGTTAGGGCAACACAGGCTGACTAAGTCTGCTCACCTAAGAGTGCCAAGAGTCTAAGCAGGCAAGAAGGAAGTGGAGTAGACCTGATGACTAAGACCTATCTACAGTATAGGTACCTGTGGATGATCCTAAGAGACCAAGTCTGAAGAGACAGTCCCCAGGCAGAGTAGGCCTTATATTTATACCTCTGTGGTGGAACCTGCTAGAACATGTTGCTTACTCAGCCTAGTCAGGTGATCAGGTCATATGACCAAGGATGAGGTCATATGAGGTCATGCACAGCCATGCACAGCAGGTCACCTGACCATCCA